CAGGGCGCAGGCGCGGGCGCAGGGAGGGAACGTGCGTGCGTTGTGCAGGGCGCAGGCGTGGGCAGGGCACGTGGGTGCAGGGCGCAGGCGCGGGCGCGGGGAGGGAACGTGGGTGCGTTGTGCAGGGCGCAGGCGCGGGCGTGGGGAGGGCACGTGGGGCGCGTGGAGAATGGCGGTCTCTGCACGCGTGCCGGGGCAAGACCTATGTACCCAGGTGAGAGGGGGTTGGGGATGGGGACCCGGGCAGGGATTCCCCTTGTGCCCACCTGCTTGTTTCTGCCTGGCATTTCTTCTTGTGTGTCGCCGGGGGTCGCAGCCCGTACATCACGAATTCCAGGTCTTAGCATTCGTCCATTTCTAAAACTTTAAAGTTCTTAAAGATAAGTTCGGGGGGAGGGGTGGGGGGAGCGTTGACCAGTCGGGGGTGTAGACCAAGGTGGATAGTTTTTTTCGTAATTTATTTATAGTAAGGTTACTAATGGGCACGCCCACCCACCGAGTCCACCGTGACCTCTGACCCGGCACCTGGCGAAGTCCAGCCGGCCTCCACCCTTGGTGCATGGCTTGGCTCCGTGCCCTGCGCAGGCGCCGCACAGGGAGGGTGGCAGTGGCCAGGCACCACAGCATGGCCAGTTTTTGTGTGATCACCTGCCTGTGGTAACTGACGGTCTGTGACTGATTGGAGGGGGACCCACGTTCGCACAATGCTCACTGTCCCTGGGAAGGTGGAGCTGATGGGTGTGCAGAGTGTGCGAAGTGGCTGCATAGGAAGAGACGCGGTGGACGGAGAGGATGCCATGGTGACCAGGCTGCAGTAGATGGAGAGACAGCAGAGGAGGAGACTCGGTAGATAGACAGACTGGCATCTGAACACTTTCCCCTCCGAGGCACCAGGACTTGTTGCAGGATGATGAGGTTTGTGTCAAGGAGAGGCAGTGGCAGGCCGGTTTAAGAGTGGATTCTCGGTTCTGTTGAAAGCCGTGCCCAGCTCCGAGGTCGGTGGTCAGGTTCTCTGCTGCTCTTCTTAATGCTGGAGTCCAGCAGCCCCACCAGGTGAGGTTTCTGTGAAGGTATTGGCCTCTGCACCCACCTGGTCAGTTCTGCCCATCCCACCTCATTCATCTACTTTTTCTTGTGGTTCTCACTTCTGTTCATTTTACTTCTCCTGTCCATCTCATCCCTGTCCTCGCTGCCCTCTTGAACATGGCCTCTCTTATGTACTGTGTGGTCACTCAAGCAAAGCTTGTTCTTTGTCTCCTTTCCAGGTGAAAGTTGACCTCTTGCTCATCGGAGCTGTGGCTGCTGGGACCCTGGCCAGAGCTATCCGGAACTGGCTTCCGAGCGCAGGGATCACAGTGGTCCAGAGTGAGGTGGCAGCGGTCGCCAGCCTGCTGGGCACGGGTGCTTTTGACATGATCCTCCTGAAGATGGCAGCCTCTCCAGGAGCAGAGGACCTGGAGGCTGTGAGAGCCATTAGGTGACTGAGGCCTCCACGCCTAGTCTACTCAGAGAGCAGTGGACACAGGCCTGCTGCAGCAAGGCACCCTGTCATAATTCTGGGTCAGAGTGTCCTGGGAGGAGGTTTGTCGGCTACGGGAGATCAGACAGTCTAGGCTCTCGTGGATGAGAAGACTTTCCTTACAGAACTTCTCAAATTCACCACAGAGAAGAGTGGACTCTGGTGCAGGGGATCCATGCAGGACCATACTCAGCACCTGAGGGGTCATTTCTAGAGCAGTACTGTCCCCAGGGAGTCTTGAGAGTAATCTACAGAGTAGTACTACTCCAGGATAACCGAGGGGACCATGTGCAGAGCAGCACTGTCCCCACAGTGTCTCAGGGTCATCTACAGAGCAGCACTGTCCACACAGTGTCTGAGGGCTGTGTACAGAGCAGCACTGTCCCCAGAGCATCTGAGGGGTCATCCGTAGAGTAGTACTGTCCCTGGGATATCCGAGGGGTCACCCACAAAGCAGCAGTGCCCCCAGGGTATCTAAGAGGGTCACCCACAAAACAGTGTTGTCCCCAGGGTATCCGAGAGGGTCATCCATAGAGCAGTACTGTCCCTGGGATATCCGAGTGGTCACCCACAAAGCAGCAGTGCCCCCAGGGTATCTGAGAGGGTGACCCACAGAGCCGCACTGTCCCTGGGATATCCAAGGGGGTCAACCACAGAGCAGTACTGTTCTGGGATATCTGAGGAGTCACCCACAGAGCAGCACTACGTCCTGTCTCCATTTTCAGAGATGCTGGTGGATTTGAACTGTCAACTTTCTTGTTTAGCAGCTCGGTGCTTAAGTCTCCTGTTCATCAGGGCTCCTCTGTTTCCTCAGTCTGTTCATCAGATTAGCATTTTTTCCCTAAATTTCATATTAATGGGTTTGATCTCATCTATATTAGATAGAAAACATGGGTTTATTTAATAAGCCACTTCTATTAAATTTTTATAAGCACAATTTGCAATTCAAATCAATCTGGTGGAACCTGTGACTGTCTGGGCCTGACCACCCTTTGATTCTGGAGCAAAACTTAGGCCCAAGGCTCACCTTTTAACTAAACACACAGGCCTGTGTGGTAACCAGTGGTATCAAGAGTGCTCACTCCTCAGGACAACTGGCCGTGCAAGGTGGAAAGGGCAGTGTCTTACCAGGAAGAAGCTGAAGGCAGGGAGGGGCAGGAGAGACAGGCTGGTGGACACAAGGGCCACAGAAGGCTGGGGAAGAGTGTGATGACGCCGTCTTTGTGGTGTACCATCCAGGCTATAAATCACATGCCCATCTTTCTCCCACTAAGCAGCTGGTGGATTTGAACCGTATGCCTTTGGGTTGGCAGCACAGCTCCTTAATACTAAGCCACCATAGTAGGTGCTGTAATTAATACTAAGAAATGAAGTGTGTATAAATGGTTGACTGGAGGACCAATTCCCCTTGTAAACGTTCACTCAAACACACACACAAAAAAATAGAGTAAGAGTGCTGTGGTCTAATCCTGCTGATGGGCTCTGGTGGCGTGGTGGTCAGGAGCTGTCCTGTCAGCCCAGAGGCACCTGATTTGAACCCACACCAGCTGCTTCACAGGAAAAAGATGGGCAGTCTCCTCCCAGGCAGTTGGCAGCTTCTGAAAACCTGGTGGAAGGTCAGCTGCGGGTCTGTTCTGATCTAATGGTAACAGTAATAAGTGACTAGTGAGATAAATGTTTAACAGCAGTTTGATCACAATGTTCATATACTTTTTCACACTTAGCTCATACTGTATTTCATCCCATCATGTTTTATAAAATCAAACACCATTGGACTTTGCCCATCATTACCTGATCTTTTCAGGTCCCTGCTGGGGCCTTCTCATTTAAATATGTAAAGAAACCCTGAGGTGGTAATACACATAGATCAATAATTCTTTGAAATATTTATGAATGGTTTGATGGAACAAATGTAAGGAGAGATTGTATAAAAAACACTACATGAGTTTAACAAGTAGTATATGAATTAGTGGTTGCAAAACAATAAAAAGACTAGAAAATTCCACAATATAAAAAAACTCAAATTTTTAAATTATAAATGAGTTGTGGTGCTGGAACACAGTATTGACCATACCATGGGCCAACAAGAGAACAAACAGGTCTGTCTTGGAGAGGGTGAAACCAAGCTGCTCCTTGGAGTCAAGGATTTTGAAGCTGTCTCATCCTTTGGGCACGTGGCCAGGAGGAACTGGTCTTTTGAGAAGGATACCATGTTCAGGAGTGTGGAGAGATGGCGCAGGAGAGGAAGACGCTGGATCGGATGGGTTAACACGGCTAATGGGGGTCGGTGTGTTGAGTCGGTGAGACTGGCCCTGGATAGGGCAGAATTCAAAGTACGCAGGGTCACTAGGAGATGTAGGCAGTTTGATGGCACATAACAATTCCAGTCCGCTTTGTATTTTCCCTCCCAGATTTGCCAAGAAAAGAACCAAACACTTGCTGTTTGTTTGTATAATTCCTGAGCATTTTGAAGGTATGTTTCTGCTGGGTATGTTTATTTTTTTAATACAAATCATAAGATAATTGTTTAATACAGAATTTGTCAGATTGTATTTCAGGGCATGGAGCTGATATCATTTTAATCGAACCACTGACGACAGAAAAAATGAATATTCTGATAAATTACTGGAAAATATATTTCTCAAAATCTGGTGAGTGAACAGTACATTTCCAAAGGTTTGAAAAAATTCTGGTTGAATTTATCAAACTAGCTTTTATCCGTTATGAACTAGTTTGTGGTCAGAATTTCTGCCTTTTGCTTGCTCAGGCTTCACTGTGTAAAGAACGTGGTGTCGCTGATCATTGAGGAATCCATGTGTATCTGAACTAGTGTGATACTGATGTGAAGAAAACAGCGTCTTTTCAGTGGTTTTAATGTGTCGAAATGGGGACAAATGATGGCATGGCTGCATCCCTCTCGGCTCAGGTCTCAGCACCTCCACCGAGTATCACAGCTGCTTCCCTGGAGGACTGGCTGGGGGTTTGAACTGCTGATCTTTCAGTTACTGGCTGGTTGTGTAGCTGACTCCACCATCGGGTCACGTGTGATTGTGGGGTGGGGTTGTGTTATGTTTGGGGGCCGTTCTCAGTCATTAGGATGGATTTCCCCTGCTGTGTCTTGTGAGGTCCCTGGATCACCCTCTTGACCCATTTGCTGTGGGGGGGCACGGGTAGTACAGTGGGCTAAGCATTCACCTGCTTCCTAGAAAATCAGCAGTCCAAACCCACTGGCTGCTACTCAGGAGACACAAGTGGTAGTGGTTTATCAGGGGCCTGTGGACTGAAGCCAGTACTTAAAACCCACCAGCTTGTGAGAGAGGGAACCCTTTTCACCTGTAAACGCTGCCCGGTGCCTGTGGACACTAGACAGCAGCACCGACTTGCTGGATGAGGGAGGATTCTGGTTGTGTGGTCTTGCCAGGCGTCTGTCCCATGTGGATGCCGGGAGTCCTGTTCACCCTCTCCAGGCCGTGTCCCAGCATCTGGTCATCTCTCATTGGATGTAAGTGACATGGGCACCCAGGCTGGGTGTCCTTCAGGAACTCTGAAAAGAGGTCTTCTGTCAGGTGGGGGTGGGACACTGGGCATCTCAGAACCTCACATTTGTTAGTTCTGTGCCCAGCATGCCCGTGCCAACATTCCCTCTCCCTGCAGCTCCATTGTTCTGGGAAAGTGATGCTGGGCTGTGACCACCTGTCCCTCTTGACCCCACCTGCCGGCCTCGGTGTCCCAGGAAGGGAAGGTGCCACTGGGCTGTGATCGCCCATCCCTCCCAGCCATACTCAGAACAGCTGACCATGGCCCTGCACCCTTCCTCTTTATCCACTTGAGGGTGAGCCGGCGGACATCTCAAGACCCCGGCCATGCTGAGAGGGAAATACACTGGGAAATAAGGTGCAGGTCCTCAGCTGTCAGGCACTTCTGACTCCAGGTCACCTTGGAACCCTGCTGTCATCTCCCCTAGTGGTGTGGCAGAAATGATACTGAATGATGACCCGGGGGGGTGAGGAGTGGGATTTTCTACCTCTGCATATTTACTTTCTGGAAGTTGGCGTCAGGGTCAACCTGAGGGCGCTGGGTTGGTCTCCATGAGAGTTGTTGGCAGGGTCTGTCAGGGACCTTCTGTTCAGCAGACGTGCACTGTAACTGTTGCAGGAAGAGGAGACTCGAAGCTGGAAGAGTGACCTGAACGCCCGAGTCGGGAGGAGGAGGGGCACAGGCAGAGCTGCAACACGACCCAAGTTCAGAGTGGCCATGCTCCCTGAACTGCTTGGACCTGAATTTTTTTTATAGGAAAATGGACAAAGGAAGTTGGGTTTTCTCATTGGTAATTTGAAAGTAGTGGTGGGAATATAAAGAGGCAGAAACAGTTTAGGTGGATCAGGGTTCATGAGTCCAGGCACATCCTTACTTTATATTCTTGTCAACTTACATCTCTGGCCTGTTAGATTAGGAGTTATTCTTGCAAAACTGGCCCTCCTGGCCTTCACATAAGAGCAGTTGCAGGGCTGTACAACTTCCCTTTTCACCCTCTCCTTTTGGAATGTAAAGATCTGTCAGAGCCCCTTCCCGGGGACTCCTCTCTCATCTCCATCTTTGAGACCCCATTAAACTTTTTAATTTGGGGTTTCACTTTCAGCACCCTGCTCTTGAAGGGATTGGTATTGCATTACATAGAACATGTGAGTTGCTACTTTTTGACTGACAGTTGTCTCTGTCATGGCTCTGACTGTGACTGGGAAGAGAAAGGAATGGTTACACAGTCCAGCGATGACTAATACCCCTCTCACAAGAGACGTGCCCTCCAAATGCTGAAGACCCTCTTCCCCAAAGGCTTTAAGGGTTCTGCTCGCACCATGTTTGTGCCAGCATGTTTGGATTTCCCATATTGTGTCTTCATTGGCTCACCCTTGATCAGCTGCTTGTAAACAGCAATTGGTCCAGTTGGATTTTCTATACACTTTCCTTCTTGAGCCAAGAGATAGTCTAAGGCCATTCTGTTCTGATCAGCTACATTTCTTTGTTAAGTTTGTTGGTGAGTTGGAAGAATAAATGCCTCCTCAGTTTCATAGGTTATTATTTCTAGTGCTCCTTGCAGCCAAATTATGCAGTTCAGGATGTAAAAAGGGGTTTGGTATCTCTATGACCTAACCTGAGCCCATGTACTAACATTTATTCTTTCTCTTGATTTTTATAGCACAGTCTCTTTGGAGTTGAGGAGGGGAGATTGTATAGCCAAGGAATTCCCTGAGTGGAGGGGTAGGAGAAAGAACGAAGGCTTGATGTTTTCTTGTTAGGTGCCATTGAGTTGAGTACAACTCATAGCAACCCTAAGAACAACAGACCTGATCCCTGTCTTATCCTGGACTATCTTCACATTTCCTGACATACAAGACCGCATTGCTGCAGTCCCCATGTCAGTCCGCCTGGTTGACGGTCTTCCTCTCCTTTGCCAGCCCTCCAGCCTTCCTGGCAGCATGTCCCTCTCCAAGGAGTATCCTCTTTTAGCAATATGTCCAAAGTACGTGAGATGAAGCCTCATCATCCTTGTTTCCAGAGAGCACTCCTACTGCACCATGTCCAAGACATACCTGTTTGTTCTCTGGCCATCCTCAGTTCACACCAGAGTTTAAAGGCTATCTCAGGAACAGGTTTGAAGTCTTGAGCACTAATGAGTGAAGATGAGGTGAGCTGTGAGAAGATACCAAGAATCTCATCCATGAAGAGTGCAGAAAGTTGTCACAAAGACAGGAGAAAAAAAGACTAAGATGGGTGTCAGAAAAGATCCTGAATGTTGCACTGGAGCGCAGAGAAGCCAAAGCCG